GCACCCACCATGCCCAAATTGGAGTTTTGTGCCAAGTAGTTTTTAGGAAGTCTGAGCTTTGTAGAATTTTCTCTGGAAAAATACCATATTTATTTTCCTTTTGAGATTAAAGTTCCAACTGTGTAATGTCACTCTCAATTATGCCTACACCAATCACTTGTAAAAAGTTCGAATATCCTCATTGTCCTTAACGGCATGGAAGCAAGCTGATTATTCAGCTCTGATGAAAACTTGTGCTCTTGGTTGGATGACCCAGGTCCCAAGACAGAGGTGATAAGAATGATTGAGTAGTGACATATGTGCTAAGAACTTTGGTTCATTGGGAATTATAGAACTTCATGGACACGTGTGATTGTGTTACTTTTTTTTTTTTTTTTTTTTTCTAATAACAGGGAATTTCTACAATTTGATTTCGCCATTTCCCTGGGGCGAGGTGGGGCCGGCATCTGCGAATCAGCGCGGAATCAGAAATCGAGCGAGAGGAATGGATAACTTAACACTATAAACACATTTCCCATTGCATCGTCCCCAAAAAGCCGCTTACACACCGGGGGATTTGGGGAAAACCATCCTCCCCTGCTGCCAAAGGGCAAAGGCCGGTGTTGGCCGCGCTGCTCACACCTTCTTCAGGTCCTCGGGGCCGAAGGAGAGCGGCAGCAGCTCCTCCAGCCTCTTGACGATGTAGGTCCCATCAGCTTTGGTCAGGTAGACATCCCAGTCTGTGCCAAACTGGAGGAGAAGAGGGAGAAAAAGTGCCTTGCTGCAAAACCTGCACTTCTTCCTCAAATTCTTCAAATAATCCTTTTTTTTGGCCAGGTTCGTGGCGAGCATCCCCCTCTATTGCATGTATTTTGGGGTGGCTTTTTTTTTTCTTGGCCAGGTTCGGGGCAAGCATCCCCCTCTATTGCATGTATTTTGGGGTGGCTTTTCAGCATCGTCTGACCCAAGGGGTATTTTGGGCTCAGATCTTCCATTTTTGTCTCCCCACCTTGCCCCAGGGTGAGTCCTGGTGCCTCCAAACCTGATGAATCCGGCCACTGAGCTGAGCCCCGTGGCCCATTAAATATTAACCACCCAAAACCAGGCTGCAGGTGCCAGGGTGCCCATGGGGAGGAGGGAGGTAAGAGCAGGATGGGCTCTGTGGGGAGCTCAGCTTTTTGCAGGAAAAGCCCCATTTTCAGGCTTGGCAGAGCCGGGGCAACAGCTCCGGGGCCAAACTCTGCTCCTGGGAGGAATTAAACCCCCTGGAGAGGGCGAGTTAATGAATTACCACCCATGGAACAGGGAGGAATCCCCCTTTCCCAGAGAGGGCAATTTGAGGAGCCCAGAGTTGGTTCTGGGGTTGGGGACAGGGGCTGCAACGCCCCATTTGTACTTCCAGGTGTTTTGGGGGAGATGCCTGGGGTCAGGGGACAATGCCTGGGTTTGGGGACGATGCCTGGGGTCAGGAGATGTGGGGTCCCCTCGTGAACACTCACCTCTCTCATCACTTGTCTGCAGGCACCGCAGGGTGTGATGAAGTCCCTCATGTCACTGCCAAAAGAGAAGGGAACAGAACTCAGTCTTGGGGCGGGGAGAACACCTGTAGAAGACCTTCATCCACCAATAAATAAAGAGCGACAGCGTATTTACCCCCAAACATCCTCCAAAAAACACGCAGAATGCTGCTTCCCCCCAAAAAAATTCTCAGAAGCTGCCCCTTGGGGTTTTTCCTGCTGCCCCCCCTGCCCGTCCCTCGGGGTGCCCTTACCTGGAGATGGCCATGGCCTTGAACCTGGTGTGTCCCTCGGAGATGGCTTTTTGGATGGCGGTGCGTTCGGCGCACACCCCCAGGCTGTAGCAGGCGTTCTCCACGTTGCACCCTGCGGGGAAGCCCCCAGCAACCCCCCTCAGCCACCCTGAACCCCACCAGCTCCCCTCTGGGTCATTTTGTCCAGTGGCGGGGGGTAGGGTGGAGGAATTTGCAAAAAAAGCCCCATATTCCCTGTTCACCACCCTCTTGCCAACACATTCCCCGCTTCCCCTATTTATTTCCCGTATTTTCCCATCCGCTGCGATCTTTGGCTCGGTCTGGGATGGTGACTGCCAAGAGGGGGAGGGTGGGGGGAGGGAACCAGCACCCTGTTCCCTCTGCACCCCCAAAGGGTTGCATGGGGGACCCCAAAACCTAAAGGATTGGGGGTCTCACAGCCCTGGCTTACCAGAGAAGATCTCCCCGCCGGCAGTGAGCAGCGCGGCGCCCACCGGGAAGCGGCTGTAGGGGCAATAGGCACAGTTTTTGGCCTCCTGGCTGCGGCGCAGAAGGAGCTGCAGGGATTCCTCCTGGGGTCGCCCCGGGGGGGCAGCGGGGACCGGGTGCTGCCCGCCACCCTCCTCCATGCCTGCACCCTCCTGCTCTGCTCGCTGACGCCGCGGTTAAATATTTCCTCGCCTGGAAAAAATAGGCTGGCCAGCCCCGCCGGGATAACGCCCCGGCACGCAGCCGACGGCCGGGAAGCATCCCCAGGGCCAGCCCTGACCCCCAAAGCATCAGGCTCAGGGGGTGCCCTGCATGCCCTCCCGACCCACTGTTCTCATTTCTTCTAATTTCTCCCTTTTATTTGTTTTTTCTTTTAACCTCCTCCTCTCCCCGTCCCGACAGGGCATTTTTTCTGCCGCTGCCTCGGTGGTGTTTGTTTTTTTTTTTTTTTTGCCTCCCCAGTTGAAAACTGGTTGCGCGGCTCCACGGTAAAATGTCATTAAATCACTGCTGGAGGAAGGGGAGGGGAGGGGGGGAAAGCAGCTCCCGATCAGTGAGATCAAAAGAAATAACTTCATTTGATTGAAAACAGAAAAAAAAAATAAAATATATATATATACATCACATTTTTCCAGGTCTTTTACCTACAGGCTGCCGAGCAGCAGGGAAAGCTGGCTGAAGAGGGGGGCCATAAAAGCCCGTTTTGGGATGCCCTCGTGCTGCTCGAGTCCAAATTCTTCCATGGGAATCAGCCCACGCCGGGTAAAGGGCTCCCGGGATGCCAGGCTGATCAGCAAATTGCTCTTTAATTAAAGATATCTCTTTTTTTATCCCTTGCTGGAGGAGCTTAATGCCCCATTTTCCAGCTGCGAGGATGGATGTCACAGCCTCTGCTCATTTATCACTGGGATTTTTGTCCAGTTTGTTGGATTTGGGGAGGATTTTGACCTTACCCGCCGGTTTTGCCAGCAAATCTTGGCGCTGGGTCGCTGCTGACAAGCCAAGACAGGCTGGGATGTGGCACCCAAATTAGCAGCAGCCTCTGATGTGGTACAAACGCTGGGATTTGAGAATGGATGGGTATTATCCCAGGTCACCCACCTTCCTCCTGCTGTGCAGGTGCTCGTTCACCCTGGAACCTAATGATGACAGTTAGTTACTTGCAAAGGCAGTCAGTCGAGGCAAGAAGCATCTAGAGGAGGGATCAGCAGCACTGAACCAACTCAGAGCCTTTCTTTCAGCTTTTGAAGTGCAAATCCCAGTTGTTTTCCCACCTAAAATGAGCCACAATTCTCATTGTGCCCCCCAAAACCTGAGAGGGAAAAGGAAAACCAGCCCCAGTCAGCTTGTGGGAGGCACTGTGGGAGCAGGGGGACCCCGCTCCTAAATAATGTGGGATTTATAAATAAAAGAGCTTTCGTGGAAGGTTTAATCCTGCCCTGTTGATATGAACCCCACACAATTAAATAAAGAGTCCTTAACTCTGTCGATGAGGGTGAGAACAGAAATAACAAGAGGTAGAGGCTGGCGTGGATTGAAACCTTCCTCGTTTGCACTAATTCACTAATCGCCCCTTCCCCCAAAACCATCCTGGTGCCGGGAGCAAACCACACAGCCCGAGACACAGCAGAAAAGCCAAAAACTACCTCCAACGCCTACATTTTTTTATTATTTTGGCTGCAAAAGCCTACGAGGCTGCCGAGGCCACGGCAGTGAGAGGAGCGGGGCCGGCACTGCCTGTGAAGCAGCTATTTTAAGGTTGCAGTTGCTTTGCTCAAACCGTAGAAAAGCTGGGAAGCTGCTGGGAAATGGCTTCCCGCTCCCTGCAACACCCTGCTCAGGTTTTCCTCCCCAAATTCACTAAAAATGGGGGCACACGCTGTTATTTTACCCCTTTCTCCTCCCCATTTTTTAACCCCAAGGCAGCCAGGGCATCTCTGTGGGTCCCTGAGCCCAAGGGTCTCCCCGCTGCACCCACAAAAAGCCCCAGGTGGCAAAAAAAAAAAGTGGAAATTAGGGTTTGAACCAAAGGAGCTGAATCCTGAACAGCCTCAGACTCTGCCATGGGGCTGAAATCTCACAGGCACCCACAGCGCTCCCCCAAAAATCTGAGCTGCTCCAAATGGCATTTCTTTTTGCCCAGAGAGAATCCATCCCAGGGCCTCGGCCGGAGTTAAAAGCAACAGGTTAAAAGGCAAAAGCTGAGCCCGAGAGGGAGGGTGAAAATAATAGGGAAAAATGGGATTTTTGGAGCAAAAAAATACCAGCAGACCTGCATGATCTGCAAACCCTGGTGCACCCCTTAGTGCAGCGCTCAGCTTTGGGGAAAAACCCCTTCTTTCCTCACGGATGTCTGACCCTCCCAAAAATCATCCCCCCCCGGATCCTGCCCTAATTTCCCCCCCCGCGTGGGTGGGCTCTGGTTGCTGGAGGCAGTGGTGGGGGGGGAGGGGGTGTCTTTATTACACCAGCATCTTTATTTCCCTGCCTGAGCGTGAACCGAGGGCGACGACGACGAACGACGGCGGCGTCGCGGGGAGGTGGAGCAGCCCACGGAGAGCTGCGTCCCCGCAGCCGCCGTCGCTCGCTCCCGCAGCAGGCGCAGGAGGCAGCCGGAACGCGGCGGCATCATCCTCGGCCAAACAGCTCCACATCCTTCCCTTTGGGAAACCGGGATCATCGGATACCGGGCGGCTGCATCCCACCGCACCGGGGTAGGGACATTCCCCCCCTGCGTGGGGGGGGTGGGGGGGAAGAGAGAGAAGGGGGGGGGGCAGGGAGGCACCCCCCACCCAGTTTTGGGGGGCTGGGG